AAATTCTGACAACTAATGCCCTAATGTTATCTAATGATGATCTTTTATTTGTTTTTTGGTTTTTTGAGACAGGGTCTCATGCTAGGCAGATGCACTACTGTTGAGCTACATCCCCATCCTTTGTATTTTATTTTTGAGACAAGGTCTCCCCAAGTTGCCCAGACTGGGCTCCAACTTAAAATACTCCTGCTCAGCTTTTCTGAGTAACTGGTATTATAGTCATGCACCACCATCCCAGTTAAATTTTTTTTAACACACTTTATTTTATTTTTTAGAGAAATTTGAGAAGAAGATAGAGATTTCCCATATACCCTGTTTCCCCACATATGCCCATCCTCCACCATTATCACCCTCTTCAGAGTCAGACATTTGTTGATACTGGTGAGCCTACACTGAGATGTCTCTAACAGCCAGAGTCCATTGTTTACATCAGGGCTTCCCTTTAATTTTCAATTTTACAGTCAAGGAATGAATGTTTTGGTTGCTTCTGTGGGACAGTATCCTTTTCTCTTGAGTAGGGCTCCTTTGTGTCTGGCCTCGGGATCTAACACTTTGGATAAAGATAATGTATTCAGGATAGATTTTCAGTGGCAGCCTTGGTATTTCTTTGACATCTCATAGTAATCTTTTTTTTTTTTTTTGGAAGGGGGGGTACCGGGAATCAAACTCAGGACCTTGGGCTTGCCAGGCAGGCACTTGTGCCGCTGAACTATATCCCCAGCCCCTCATAGTGATCTTATCTCTCTTCTCAGCACAGATCCTTGGGCAGTTTCTCTGACATACTTCTTGCACCAAAGGCTTTTCTCATTGATTTATTTTTGGTCAGCCTTCACCTAATAGTTTATATTTTCATGGAACCACTGTGTTTTCTCACTTAGCAGTACTTTAATAGTAAGTAATTGTGTGTTAAACCTACCTAGGTGTTACTACTATTCTACCAGTTGGAAAACTTAGATATGTGTATACATACATATGTATTAGGGAAAAGATTTTTCTAGAATTATAAAAGCATCTACCAATACCAGGAGTTGGACTTCAGTCATTTGTATACTTCTTTATTTTACAAAAGTTTCAATGATGTTAATACTGGACATTCAATATTTGGAGAAGGAACAAGTTTAGAAAGTTAAAATACAATATTCTAGCATTCCAGTGATTTTTTTTTCTTTGTGCTGCTAGGAATCAAACCCCAGACCTTGCACATGCTAGGCAAGTTCTCTACCACTAAACTACACCTCAGCACTCATGATTTTGGTTTCTAATTGTTTGTATTTGTTTTTAGGGTGGATCTATTTTGTTAATAACAGGTCCTCCTGGATGTGGAAAGACTACTACTGTAAAAATACTATCAAAAGAACATGGTATACAAGTACAAGAGTGGATTAATCCTGTTTTACCAGACTTCCAAAAAGATGATTTCAAGGAGATACTTAATTTTGGTAAGGTTTGCTGTGAAGATATTGGAAATAACAAGAGAAACTTGTGCCTAATGCAGCATTCAGATGAGACTGCATGAGTGCATTTCTCTCCCAGACTGGCCAGTTTCCAAGAGCAGTGATTTCAGAAGGACAAAGGGCTGCCTAGAGCAGAGAACAGGTTCTGTTCAGGATTATGGTTCTTTCAGGATTAAATTGTAACTCTTTTATTAGAGAAGAGTTGCAAATGTTTCATTATTTCTGGAGGTTCTACAGTGTGAGCTCTTACTTGTTTAACTGTGAATCAGGTCTTAAGATGTGTTAAAGGAGCCAGATGTATTGGTGCATACCTGTAATCCCAGTACTCAAGAGGCAGAGGCAGGAAGATTGGCTCAAGTTCAAGGCCAACCTGGGCTACATAATGAGTTCAAGGGCAGACTATATAACAAGACCCTGTCTCAAAAAAGAAAAAAGAAAGATGTGTTAAACGAACTTGGTTCCCAAGAAGATAGTTTAGACCAGGCATGATGGCAGATCACTGTATTCCCAGCACTTGGGAGGCTGAGGCAGGAAGATCATTGTGAGTTTGAGGCCAGCCTAAGCTATATAGTGAGTAAAGGCCAGCCTCTGAACTACATAGTGAGACCTTGTCTAAAAAAAGAAAACAGACAAACAAAAAACAGATGGTTTTGATTGCTAATACATGTTAGAGTCAGATCAGATCAAAACATAAGGCCAAAATGTCTGCCTTTGGAACTTCGAAGGAGACCTTAAGAGAAACATCAGAAAATGAACATAGTAACTTTTCTTTGTTTTGTTTTAGATGTTTTGTTTTTTGATACAAGGTCCTACTATGTAGTGTAGGCAAGCACTGAACTCAAAATCCTCCTGCATCTGCCTCCTTGGTAAAGGGATTACCAGGTGTATGCCACCACTCCCAGGTCTGGCACTATAATTTCTCTGTCTTGGTTTTTGTATATTATAGGCAGCTAAATTAGGTGTGGCATAGTGTAAGCTAGTTATAAGTGAGAGGAATTGTGCAGGACAGTTTTCATGGAGTGTGTATCAGAAACTTCTCCTCAGGGCTCCTCTTTAATATGCTGTTTGTATACCTTGGCTGCAACGTACATAGCCTCATGCTGCCAGCGTTCTGTGTCCTAATCTTACTGCTTTCTAAATGGTGACGTTACTTCTGGCAATTTTAATCTTTTGTCTTCTGCATAAAACATGTCCAGAGAGCTCTGTGGCTAAGTTGACTGTCAATCTATTTATTGTTAAACTTTCATTTACCAATTGTATCAGTCAGTTAACTCTGTTAGATTCATTGTGTTGTCCATGTTCACTGTTAGTCTTTTGAAGTGAGTGGGGTTGTTTGGTTTGTTTCTTTTCTTTTTTTTTTTTGGTGGAGGTTTTGAGACAAGGTCTTTCTTACGCTGTTCAGACTCCCTTTGAACTCACTACATAGACCAGGCTGGCCCCAAACTCATGGTGATCCTCATGCCATTGCCTCCTGAGTGCTGGGAGTATAAGTGTGCACCACCATGTCTGACTGAATTTTAGATTTTAACAATTTCACAGTATCAAGCCAGGCGTGGTGGCACATACCTGTAATCCCAGCACTTGAGAGGCTGAGGCAGGAGGATCATTGTGAGTTCAAGGCTGGCCTGGGCTACAGAATGAGCTCAAGGCCAGCCTAAACTGCATAGCAAGACCCTGTTTCAAAAAGACAAAAAAAAAAAAAAAAAGACAATATCAGACTGTTTCATTATAAAATGCAGTTGTATTGGCATCATGTACATGTAAGTGATTTGTATATGTGTGTACATATACATGTGTATAATATTGATGTGTATATATAATTTGTTGAAAATAAAATTGCTAAATATGTTTCCTTTCAGAATCAAGTTTCCATACATTTCCATATCAGTCTCAGATAGTAGTGTTCAAAGAATTTTTACTAAGAGCAACAAAGTATAACAAACTACAAATGCTTGGAGAAGATCTGAGAACTGATAAGAAGATAATTCTGGTTGAAGTAAGGACAACTTTTTAAACTGTGCTATTGCAGTTGAGCAAATGGTTGTGTGATACACTTCATGTGTTAACATGAGCTCGCTCATGGGTAGCTTGTGATAGCAGAATGCAAAGGCTTTGTCATAGCAGAAACCTAAGTCTTTTTCAGTAAACTGAGTGTAGGTACAGGTTAACAAAGTTTAAAACTTAATGGCTTAAGTACAGAAAAGCAAAGGAAATACTTGAAAAATTACTTTGCAGTTAAAATACTATAGCTGGTAAAGTGACCCCAAGAAATTTAATCCAGCGCTTGAGGTTTCCATGTTTGTGTGGTACTATTTAAACTACAGCTATTTCATATTTCTCTTAATTTCTCTGAATGTTGCAATTAAAATGTATTGGATAAATTTTTCTTGTCTTAATAGAGGTAAATCTGAAAATAAATACACAAAGGAATACAATTAATATTTACCCTATTTTTTAATAGGATTTACCCAACCAGTTTTACCGAGATGCTCATAGTTTACATGAAGTTCTAAGGTGGGTATGAGTGAAGCACGGTAGTCTCAACTCCACGTTAGGGTTGGGCTTGCTGCACAGTGGCTGCAGCGCTCAGCCTGGCGTGGACCATTGATCCAATAAGTAAAACTCCACATGAAATGGCAAGTGGCTGATGTTTCAACGTTGCTTTGTTTTCTTGTTTTAGGAAGTATGTGCAGACTGGCCGATGTCCTCTTATATTTATAATTTCTGACAGTGTCAATGGAGATAATAATCATAGGTTACTATTTCCCAAAGAAATTCAAGAAGAATGTTCTATCTCAAACATTAGGTAAAAAATGTCTGCTTAGAATGTTCATATATGTGGCAATATTTTAAAGTTAATTATTCAACTACCATCTCTCTGTACAACTTACAGTTTCAACCCTGTGGCACCAACAATTATGATGAAATTTCTTAACCGAATAGTGACTGTGGAAGCTAATCAAGTAAGTCTGATTAATTTGACTTTTACTTTATAGTTATAGAAAACTCAGCTTACATAGTGTGTGTACTGGAGGAGCTGGAGATACATGTTTTTAGGGTAAAAAATGTTTTAGTATATGTGCTGCCGAAGCGAGCACGGGTAAAAAATGTTTTTAAACTCATAAGGCATGTCATTTTATCAAATAGAGGGAACACTGATTAAAAATATATAACTGCTTTTCTACTATTAGACTTAACTTTCACATTGAGGTAAATTTTCCCTTTGCTTGGCTTACTGTTCTAAATTATACCTATCATCAAGAAACTATTTTCTAAAGAAGGAAAACATGGAAACAAAGCTTCGTAGATGTGGAGGGTAAGGACTGAAGGGAGGGTAGGGGAGTGGGGCGTAAAAACAAAGTTGTATCATGTACAGGTACAAATTCTCTATGATGAATGTGATCATTCTGTATATATAAAATATACCAATAAAATGAAGTAAAAGGCAAAAGAAAAAAGATATTTTCTATAACATAAAGATGAGTACATAATACCCACTGTAGAGATTAAAAAAAAATTGAGTTTTATGAGAGGAATAACTTGTATAATATACCACAACTATTAAGGGTCAGATGGGGTTCAAGTTTAACTGTAGTTTACTATATTAAAACAGGTAATTATGAATAACAACAAATGCACATGTGTATGCACATATATATGTGCTAGATCAAAGTACATAAAGATGATGTCAGTAGTTCTGGATGAATTTGATTTTGTCTGTTAAAAATTTACATGCTTGAGCCAGGCTCAATCAAGCATGATGGTGCACACCTGTAATCCTGGCACTTGGGAGGCTGAGGCAGGAAGATCACCGCAAGTTCAAGGCTAACGTAGGCTACAAAGTGAGTTCAAGACCAGGCTGAACTGCATAGCGAAACCCTATCTCAAAAAGACAAAAAAACAAAACCTTCATGTGCTCTACTATAGGCATGATAATGCATATTATCACTGTAAATACTTATTCAACATTACAGAGTGACCAAGAACAGTAGTCAGTATACTGTTTTATCACATTTAACTCAAAACTTGTATTTTAAAAGCCCTGCACCTATAGTCCCAGCATTCTGGGAGACTGAGGCAGGAGGATTGAAAGTTTGAGCCTAGCCTGGGAAACACAGAAACTTAAGACCTTGTCTCAGAATAAAAAGGGGCTGGGAATGTAGCTCAGTGCAGAAGCCCTGGGTTTGTCCCCAGTACTCAACCTGAAGCAGGAAAAAAACCAACTTCTGTTTTAATGCTAGGTCATTAATTGAGAATGGCATTTACTTTTAAAAGTTTTATTATATGGGGCTAAGGGTGTAGCTCAGGGTAGAGCACTTGCGTAGCAAGCATGAGGATCTGGTTGCAGTCCCAGCACCATCACCCCCTACCCTCACCAAAAATAGGTCAGATGTAGCCAAGGGTAGTAAAATTGTTTTCAGAGGGTGTTTTTTTGTTTTATTTTGTTTTTGTGTTTTTGAGACAGGGTTTCACTATCCAGTTTAGGTTGGTCTAGAGCTCATTTGTAGCCCAGGCTGGCCTCAAACTCACAGAAATCTTCCTGCCTCAGTGTCTCGAGTGCTGGGATTACAGGCATGGCACCTGGCTAGAGGGGTCAGTTCCTCATAGTGGGGAGAAAAAGGGACAGAAATACTCCCTGGTCAAAGGAAAGTAGTAAACAATATTTAATACTGCTGGAATTTTACTTTGAACTATGCAGTCATCAATACTTACAGCTTTCATAGGCAGGCTGGTGGTCAGCATGGAGGCTTTTTAGCACTCAAATTTGAAAGAATCTACTTTGCTTCCGTAAAGTTTAGAAAATGGGTTGTTTTTTTGTTTTTTTGTTTTTTTTTTTTATGAAAGCAGTCTTTTAAAATTTAGTTTTCTTATTTCAGAATGGAGGAAAAATTGTTGTCCCTGATAAAACTTCTCTAGAGTTGCTCTGTCAAGGATGTTCCGGTGATATCAGAAGTGCAATAAACAGCCTCCAGTTTTCTTCTTCAAAAGGTACAAGAGAAGCAGCATTCAGAGCATTCTAGAGATGGCTGACTTTCCTCATTATTCATGGAGATAAATCAAACCATGTGTGTGTATGTGTGTGTGTGTAATGCTTGAGGTTGAGCCCAGGGTCTTAAGCAAGTGTCCTATCACTAAGCTACGTTCCTAGCCCAAAATAAACATTTTAACTTGTAATTGACACCACCCCTATCCATGATCATCTGTGGTCTGGAAATATTCATGGAACATTCTAGGAATAATATATAAGATTTAAATTCTGCACTATTGAGTAGTGTGATAAGATCTTTCACTGTCCTGCCCAGGAAGTGAATCATCACTAACTCAGTATATGGCATTGCACACACTGTAGACCTGTGTGCCCTGGAGGCCATCTTGCTTATCAGGTCCACAGTCATGGGATCCCAGTGCTTATGTTCAAGTAACTGTTATTTTACTTGGTAATAGCTCCAAAGTGCAGGAGTAGTATTGCTGGCAGTTTGGATATGCCAAAGGGAAACCATGAAGTGCCTCCTTTAACTGAAAAAGGGAAAGGTTTTCAATACAGAAAGGAAAAAATCATAGGCTGAGGTGGCTAAGATCTGTGGTAAGAATGAATCTTCTATGCATGGAATTATGAAGGAAAAAAAAAAATTCATGCTAATTTTGCTACCACATCCCAAACTAAAAAGCTGCATATGGTCACAGTGTGTGCTTCGTTAAGATGGAAAAGATACTAGATCTGTATATGTGAATGTGTATAAAACAGATGTTTAAATTATATGTGTGTGTGCACGGTTTGATTTTCTCAGCAGATTCAGGCATCCATATCCACTGGGGGTCTTGGAATGTACAGGTGCACGCTTTTTTATTGAGACACTGGCTTAAAATCATGTATATGCACATGAATATACCAACCTCTATGAATATGTCATCATTTATATCCTTATATCTATTTGAGACAAAACGTGATTTATTTGCATGGCTTGCTGCTTTACCTTTCCAAGTTCTTTGGGATCAGACCTACCGGGGAACATCTCATTAGATAGGTTGGTGCGAGTGACTATCTTTTTGTGCCTACCTTTTCTGGAAGAACCTATGTCACAGGGCTGTGCGGGAAACAAGGGAAGAAATAGTTACAGAATAATTACTACAGTGTATGACAGTGTTTGAGGTAAGGGCTCAGAAAGCAACCAGCCATTAGGTTAATGATTGTGCTGAGGTGTCTTTGCTTGTGAACTTTTTCATAGTTTCTATGTTTAACAAATATATATTACCCCAATAATACGTAAAAAGGGTAAACCATCGTGGTGTAGGAAAAGGTTGTTCCACTAATGGCAGTGAGTTACATCTTTACTCGGATGGTCGTCCTGACTGTGCAGTCCTCGTCCTAAGCACTTAGCCAGCTACTGACTTGATGCTTGACCTTGAGGAATTTATCTTAAAGAAAGAAGCCATCTGTGCAACTGTCAGAATTCATCTGAAATCCTCATCTTCTGCCTACAAGTGTAAACTGTTCATTTAGTTTATGCCTTGCTTTTCCAAAATATCCATAGAGAAATAGGTATCTTGACACAACTAAAGCCAGAATCTAGCTTATTCTTGTGAATGCATAAATGCACTGTTCTTAGATTCAGTACTAGAATTATGAATTTGAAAGGCTGAAGTGAGTCAGATTGGTGTTTTTGATTTTGAGACAGGGTCTCACTGTGCAGTCCAGGCTGGCCTTGAACTTGTGGCAATCCATCTGCTTCAGCCTCCTGAGTGCTGGGATTACAGGCATGTGCCACAATGCCCAGTGTTCTGGTTACTTTTCTCTCGTTGCTGAGATAAAATACTTGATGCCCCAAATTAAGGAAGGAAAGGTCTATTTAGCTTACAGTTTATAGAAGTTTCAGTCTCTAGTCAGCTGGCTCCAAGGCCGAATGGCACATGGCAGAGAGCAACCATTCATGGCGGCAGAAAACAGCAAAAGGAATAGGAGCACAAGGGAAGCAGCCTGGCAAGCAGCCTCTTTCCCTCCCTTACGTTATATGCAAACTACCCACCCCAGGGCAGGTGTAGCACTCCCACCCACGAATCAATCATAAACTCTAGAAGTCTGCCCCATGACTGCATGAGACTTGGGGGGGATATCCAGACACAAACCATAACACCCAGCAATGAGCCAGGTTGGGATTCTAACTATGACTGTAACACTGCTATGTGCTCAGAAATTTAAAACCTGATAAGGTTTTAAAAGGAGAAAATAATTTTTGAGTCGGTCAGGAGTTATATTAGCAATTAAGTTTTTTCATTTAATTCTTTCATCATCCTAATGAGATAGACAATATTACGATTCAGATCCTGATCCTATATTCTTCCTGCCATTCAAGACTGCTTTTACATTACACATTCTGAGTTTTAAACAGAAAAATTACAAATGAAATTTGTAGGCCTAAACTGGAAATTGCTGAAATCAGTTGAAAGATAGTGTAACAGTTAAGCATAGGTTGCAAAACCTGACTATGTAGGTGATTAAGAGTGCTTATTTGCTGATAACCTTGGGCTAATTACTTAAATTCTTTGTATTTCAGTTCTTTAACTGTTATAATTATTCCCCCTCCTAGAATTGTTATGAGGGTTAAATCAGTTAATATGTATCATGGGCTAAGAATAGTTCCTTGTACATACCACTGAGAAACCAAGGTGATATGACTTACTAGTATGTCATTTTATATGTGAAAATGCAGTAGGTATCATGAGATTGTGTTTGTTTTTGGTTGCTTTGCTTTTGTCCTAGTAATTTTAAATCACATTTTATTCCATTTCAGTAATTAGCAACACAAAAAAGACCCTAACTCAGTTTATATATTTTATAATTATTGTTGATTGGAAAAATGTATTTTAATTAGTATATTTAATGTAACTCTCTGAAGTCCTCCTAGTTTTCATTTTTATATTTTTATTTTATTTTAAACATTGTCCTTGGGTGTATTTAGGAGAGAGCAGCTTATGGCCGAGAAAAAAAGGAGTGTCCTTAAAGTCAGATGCTGCGCTGTCAAAATCAAAGCGGAGGAAAAAACCTGATAAGGTTTTCGAAAATCAAGAATTCCAAGCTGTTGGTGGCAAAGATGTTTCTCTCTTTCTCTTCAGAGCTTTGGGGAAAGTTCTGTATTGTAAAAGTAAGAGAATCTTTACAATTTTTTGATATCTGTTGGATATTAGTCTTACAGTAGAAATAAATTTCATATTTTTAAAATGCTTTGTTCACCACATTTTTTCTGTGGTGTAAGAAACCAAAAGTGTAAACAAGGACCAAAATGTATAGTAGGTATTGTGAAATAGGAGGAAAATGTTCAAATGGGGAGGGGAGCAAGGGAGAGGGAAGGGGGAAAGGAAAGAAGGGAAAGGTATGAAAAAAAAAGGAAAAGGGAAACATAGAAACAAAGCTTTATAAATATGAAAATGGGGAGGGGAGAATGTGTTGAAAGGAGGGTAGGGGAGTGAGGGGTAAAAACCAAGTTGTATCATGCACAGGTACAAATTCTCTATGATGAATGTGATCATTCTGTGTATCTTTTTTTTTTTTTTTTTTCATTCTGTGTATCTAAAGTGTACCAGTAAAATCTAATGGAAAGGGGGCTGGGGTTTTAGCTCAATGGTGCAACTCCTGCCTGGCAAGCATGAGGTCCTAAGTTTGACTCTTGGTACAAAATAAAGATCTAATTAAAAAAAAGAAAGCAGCTAAAATGCTGTATTCAGAGTCCACCAAAAAAAGTGTATGTACTTCAGCAGTTCCCCGTACTAATAAATGTCTGGAAGCTGCTGGCCACCACTTTGAGTGCCACTTGCAATTGTAGAGACCAAAGGTAACTTGTTTAGTATTAAAATATTTATACAAGTTTTTCTTTCTGTACTTTTTTTTATTTTAAAGATAAAAGAACTATTAACAAACATATTAACATATTAACATACATACATATGAAAACATAGTAACAAACATACATTTACAAAATAACACAAAATATTAACAAACATATTAACAAACATACATTTACAAAATAGCATAAAACATATTTCATACATATGAAAACATATTAACAAACATACATTTACAAAATAACACAAAAGCAATACAAAATTTCAGACAAGATAGGAAATTAACAGTGGTTGTTGTATTACATATTGATATCTTCAAATTGGTTACTCAGTGTACTTTGTTAAGAAAAAGTGAGGGTTATGTTATGTACTATTGGGCAGGGCCTTTAAGACAGCAGGAAAATGTGTTTAGCCTTTGGAGTATTCCAACCATATGAGCAAGATTAAATGTAACAACAACCTACCGTAGGCCATATCCATTCCTGTAAATTATTAAAATTATAGTACGCTGAAGGTAAGACATCCATCTCTGTAGACTTACCACCAAGAGGGAGAGCCTGAACCTCAGTCACACTAGGCTCCAGCCCTGAGGCCGTATGTAAAGTGCCAGGTCCTTATGGCTTCTTTTGTTTCTCTCCAGTTTTTCTGTACTCTAATTGCCGCCCACCTCCAGAGATGTTCATTGCCCTCTCTGTCTCCTCTGATGCCTGCCCCTCCTTGGATCCTTTACTCCTGGTGTCCATTCCATTCCTTTACTCCTGGTGTCTAACCTCTCAAATCATCCCTTCTGTCAGTAAAACCCCAAACCTCTGATTCTTTATATAGCATCTCCCAGTTGATAGTCTTATGATCCTGAAGGAAGAATTTGGAATTTCTAAATGGAAATATTCCTGCCATATAGGGAAATGAAATGACCATCTCTTAGTGGCAGTGGTGAGCTGCCCTGTTCCCAGATCCTCCCTCCTCTGAACCTCAGGGGCCCTTCTCTCCTGATTCTCTTCTGTCACCCTCTCTCCTCCCCAGTGTACATTCATAAACCCTTGCATTAGGGGCTGGGGGCTCCTGCTTTCCCAGGCAGGGAACAGCATCTTCCTTTGTAGGAAATTGGACAGTAAAGATTTTGATGTTGAGATGAATCAGAGAAGAAAGCAGCACAAACTAGGAAGAGAAAGGGGCTGTGCTCTTGGAAATGGAATGTTTTAGGTCTAAAAAAAGCCATAATCCACGCTTCAGAAGTTTCAGTTTAGTTCTAGTAGTAATAAAACAGGTAATCATCTAGTAATTTTGTTTTTTTAATTAATGGTTTGTTTAGTATCTTGGCATTATGTGTCAGAAATGTTGAAAATGTTCAAATGAAAAGTGCCATGTAATTACAAAGATGATGCTATCTTTAATAATTGTAGAAATTTTTTATAGGAGCACCTTCAACAGAATTAGACTCTCCTCAGTTGCCTTCCCATTTATCAGAGTATGAACGAGATACATTACTTGTTCAACCTGAGGTAAGGCCTCTATGACTGTTTACCAGGCCTACGTATATGTATGTGTAGTATGTGTGTACCTCGTATTTGGACCAAATTTTTTATATATTTATGCTTTTTCTAGGAAGTAGTAGAAATGTCACACATGCCAGGAGAGTTATTTAATTTATATCTTCACCAAAACTACATAGATTTCTTCGTGGAAGTAGATGATCTTGTGAGAGCCAGTGAATTTCTCAGTTTTGCAGATATCCTCAGTGGTGACTGGAATGTAAGACCCTTTCACTTAAATATTTCCTCAGAATTAAGAAAAGAAACTTTACTTTTAATTCTTGGAGTCTTAATTACTCTGCTGCAACATCTAAGCCAGTGTTTGTAATGAAGCTTCAGTAGGTTAGTTGGATTTTCTTGTGATAATATACCACTAACTTTTTATTTTTTTTTTTTTGAGACAGGGTCTCACTATGCAGTTCAGGCTGGCCTTGAGCTCACTTTGTAGCCTGGGCTGGCCTTGAACTTGCAACAATCCTCCTGTGTAAGCCCCTCGAGTGCTGGGATTACAGGTGTGTGCCACCATGCCTGGTGCATATTTTTTTAATTTGAAAATTAATATATACAAAAAATGAAAAAATAAAATAATTTACATAGTAAAACTTGAATATTAGGTAGAAGGGCAAGAACTGTATATTTTGCTATGCTTTCTACTGCTTTAAAAGGTTTTCTTTTTTTTAGTTTGTGTAGGCTGTGGGTATAGCTCAGTGGTGAAGCACATGCTTAGCATGCACAAGCTTCTGGGTTTATTCCCCAGCACCAGTGTTTTCGAGACTGAGTCACACTTTATGTTGCCTAGGCTTACTCCACATAGCGAGGGCTGTGGTGGGTGCCATCCCAGCCAGTGTCTGTATTGTCCTTCACATTACTGTAACTGCATGTGGCCATTTAAATTTAAACTAATTTAAATTAAAAGTTCAGTTCCTCAGAAACACTAGTCATATATTTATAGTACCTGAGAGCTACATTTAGCAAGCATTTAGTAACTGCTGTATTGAACAACCTCACTACAGAAACATTTCCATCAATACAGGAAGTTGTTAGACACTTTTAATATGTTACTATATCTGTAGTGTAAATATAAGTATTGAAATAACATTAATAATTAAAATTAAGAAAGTTACAAAAAACCATCATAGTGTCATTGCTCAGTATTTTTATTTACCTATTTTTTTTTCTGTAATTATTGTTTTAAAAACTTTTTGCCAGGTGTGGTGGCACACACCTATAATCCCAATTGCTTGGGAGGCTAAGGCAGAAAAATTGCAACTTCAAGGCCAACCTGGGCAACTTAATAAGACCCTGTCTCAAAATATAAAATGAAAAGGGATGGGGTAGTAGCTGTGTACAAAGGCCTACATTCATTCTCCAGTACCAAAAAAATTGTGTCTTCTTTTGATTGCCATATTCATATTCATACACACTCATAAGGTGTATAACGGTGTGATGTTTTCATTCTACACTGGGTATTGATCTCCTCAAGGTAATTGGTATATTCATCACCTTAACTTTAGCGTCTCTTTTATCCTCATATGATTGCTTCTTTTTTATTTTGAAATTTTTACTGTATAGATAAGTTGAAAGAATAGTTCATTGAAAATCTGTGTATGCTTTTGTTCACTAGATTGTTATATTTTGCCACATTTGCTTAATCTGTTTATGTATTTACATACTTATTTTGACAAATGGCGTGACTCAATATTTAAGCATAAGTAATGATATTTTTCTGTTACAACCGTCATAGCGTTATCGCACCCAGAAGGTTCATAGTAATTTAGTGATATACGGTCCCTATTCAGGTTTCCCTAATTACTTCAAAAATACACCTCAGTGGCACAAGTGCCTGCCTGGAAAGCACAAGGTCCTGAGTTCAATTCCCAGTACCATTAAAAAAAAAGTATTGAAAGCTGTTTCTCCCATCTCTATCCAAGATTCATCAGGGTTCACCTGTTGCATTTGCTGTGCCTCAGTTGAATTTGCTTTAGCAGTTTCATAGCACTCTGGTTTTTAGGGCTATGGAGACCATGGAGAAAGTGAACATAGAACAACTAAGTGTGGCCAGTCGTTTTGTATGTGTTAGCAGTACCAGTAACACTGTTTATAAATCTCACTTTCTTCATTCTGCCTCTTCTCACTTGTTAGACACGCTCTTCACTCAGGGAATACAGCACATCTGTTGCTACACGAGGTGTGATCCATTCCAACAGAGCCCGGGGGTTCGCTCACTGCCAAGCAGGGGGATCAAGCTTTCGACCGTTGCACAAACCCCAGTGGTTTCTAATACATAAGAAGGTAAAAAGGGAACTGTAGACTTTGCATAGGTGAACTCTATGAATTCTTTAATAAGGCAAGGGTTAAGTTCAAGCAAGAAAAATGTTTTATTCTTATAAAATAGTTGCTAAAGGCTACAGTTAAATTATGATAAAACATAAAAAGGATGATTTTCCTAACCATTTAGTTCTTTTTTAAAGGTAAAAAACACTCAGAATTTAAGTGTACACACCTGTTTCACTTATTAGTTGAATTTTATTAGAATCAAAACATAGTTAATTTAAATTTTAGTTATAGTTAAAAATAAGCTCTAGCCAGGTGTGGTGGCACATGTCTGTAATTCCAGCACTTGGGAGGCTGAGGCAGGAGGATCACCATGAGTTCAAGGCCAGCCAGGTCTACATAGTGAGTACAAGACCAGCCTGAACCACGTCTTGTCTCAAAAAACCAAAATAAGGGCCGAGGATTTAGCTCAGTGGTGCGATGCTTGCCTGGCAAGCATGAAGTCAAGTTTAATTCGACCCCCCACCACACAAAGAAACCAAAATGAATAAATAAATAAATATTCTAGCTAGGCATGGTGGCGCACACCTGTAATCTCAGCACTTGTGAATCAAGACCGGCCTGCATTTTACAGCAAGACCCTGTCTCCAAAAAATTTAAATAAAAAAGCTCTAGGATACAAATTTCAGGTAGGAAGAATAAATTTGAAACCTAGCATACTACATGGTGACCATACTATTTAATACAACATACAGCCCTTAACAAAAGACACATGACACAAGACATGTTCTTTTTTTTATGTTAAAGAGGAAAAAGACAAAAAGACAAAGACAAAATAACAAAAACAATAAAAATTACACAGAATTTCAAAACATAGTGATAGCAAATTAACAGTTGTTGTTATATTACATATTACCTTCAAAGTAGTTACTCAGATAACCACATATAGGCATGTAAGATTGATCAAACAATTATACATGAACTGTTCCTTTCAATAAACCAATAGAAATTAGTACAATTATCTTAGTTATCGTGTGTGTATGTGTGTGTGTGTATATAAATATATATGCACACATATTTTTTTCCCCTTTCTCTTTTTATTCTTTTCCCTCATCCCAGTTGTTCTTTCCTTTTGAGCAGTTTCTTTCCCTTTCACAATATCTATTGTACCTAAGACATGTTCTCAGAACTGCACTGGTAGGTGGCTTGTGGTTGTGTAAACATCATAGAGTGGTTTTTGTTTTGTTTTGTTTTGTTTTCTGAAAACAGGGTCTCTCACTGTGTATCCCAGGTTGGCATCAAATTTGTGATCCTCCTGCCTCAGCCTCCCAAGTATTGGGATTGCAGGCCTGTGCCACCACACCCAGCTCACAGAATATTCTTACACAAGTTTAGATTGTATAGGTCAATTATCTCATGTCTTGCCTTTCAATCAAATCAAGAGAGGTGTTAAATATGAGATATATGAGACTGCTGCTGATATAACATGAAATCATTGTAATACTAGGAACACCAGGAAGGACAAATTAGATAAACTCCTATGTTTGTGGTATGTAAACCCACATGTGTTTTTTTTGTTTGTTTTTAAATTTTTTTTATTGACCCACATGTTTTGTGATGTAATAAACTTAGTTTAATTTGGAATACATAATCATAGTTTTGTTTTACTTGCCTTTCATCCTTTTTTCTTTTCCATGCAGTATCGGGAAAATTGCCTAGCAGCAAAAGCACTTTTTTCTGACTTCTGCCTACCTGCTTTGTGCCTTCAGACTCAGCTGTTGCCGTATCTTGCACTCCTAACCATCCCAATGAGAAATCAAGGTAATCCCGGGTTTCCGCTTCCCAAAAAGTAGTGTTTCATACCAGTCTGTTTTTATGAGTCAGTTCATGACTGTATACTAATGAGATCATGTGTGCCCCTTTATTTTTGACCCAAAATGAATACATACTTTTTATTAATAAATAAATGATGCAGAAGTATATAAAGTAGAATTAAAAGGCCCTCCCTCCCCTTCAATTGCAGGTCATCTTTTGACGGCCTAGATAAATTGTCAGCTTTCTTCTGTGCATATAGATACCTGCTGATGAGATAAGCTTTCATTTGCTTCTGTCACTTCCACCTGGGTAGCCTTCCATGTTGCATAAATCAGCGTCAAAGCTGAAATACTTAAATGTGTTCAAATCTAACATATTTTTTCAAAACCTATGATTTTATTAAAAAAATTTTATTCATTGATGAATATTTTGGCTGATTTCTATATTGCAGTCAGTGCCATTAGTGGTATACATGTACATTAAACTTCCATGTGGTAAGATTATAAGTAATGCTGCCAGCAAGGTCAGTGTCCATGTGGCTGGATTCCCTTGGAGAAGTGGTATTTCTTCTTCTGAGGGGGTTTGCCTGTTTATGAAGTTCACCAGTTTTCTTATCAGTTGTTTTTCTCTGTCTTATTTTCCTCTGTCTTGTTTTCATTAGCAGTGCTAGGGCAGGACGCCAGGGGATGCTGAGCTACATTCCTAGCCCCTTTTATTTTATTTTGAGACAGGGTGATGATCAGTTGCCCAGGCTGACCTTGAACTCATCATTGTTCTGCCTCAGCCTTCCAAGTAGCTGAAACTACAGAGATGTTCGTCACACCTAGCTCTGAAGTTGTAAAGATCAGGTTTACTTTACAAGTTGTCAGAAGAGAGCTTTAAAGGGTAATTGTCAACTCTGAAACAATGAACCGCTTTTTTTTACATCTTTGGAGAGTGTTGATGCTTTGGTTTTTTGTTGTTGTTTTTGTTTGAACCAGAGCATTTGAACTCAGCCATATCTCCATTCTTTTTTAGTTTGAGACAGGATGTCACTAAGTCACTAAATTACCCAGGCTGGGTTTAAATTTACAATCCTCTTTCCTCAGTTTTACCATGTGCTGGGGTTAGAGGTGTGTGCATCCATGCCTGGCTTGATACTTAACCTTTTTTTGGAGGGGGGAGGGTGGAACAGGGTCTCACTGTGTACTTCAGGCTGTCATTGAATTCATTATGTAACCAATGCTGTCCTTGAACCCGCAGCAGTCCCCCTGCCTCAGTCTCCCATGTGCTGGGATTATAGGCATGCCCAGCACAGTTTTAAATGTTATGTATTCATAGGTAAAAGTGGGATAACTTTGGGCAGTAGTTGTGATCAATGTAGTTTTGGATCCAGAAATTAAGATTACTCTAGATTTTAACTTTCTTATTTTGAAATAATTTTACATTTAAAGATGCAATAATAGAACAAATAATTGTACTTCTCCTGTACCTGTTCCCCGATATTTCATAGTGCTAAATTTTTAATATACTTGGCTCATACATGATCTCTCTTTCTTAGTGCACGCAAGCAAACACTTGTATGTATATTTTCCAAGCCATGTTTGAATCAGTTGCAGATGTAATGTCTTGGTACTTCCTAAACACCAGGACCTTCTACTGAGTCACACTAGCAAATCCAAATCAGGAAGTTCATCTTGGTACATTGCTGCCATTTAGCTTAGGGTCCTCTCAAGTTTTGCCAGTTGTCCTAGTAATATCTCTTATCCAAGAAGAGCTTCACTTTTTCACGTTCTTGTCCAGAATCTACTGCAGGATCGCAGTATGCATTTAGTCATTTAATTGCTGTGCCTCTTTAGTCTCCTTTGATCTTGAATAGTTCCTTGATCTTTCTTTACCCATGATAGTTTGGAAGCAGTAGCATGTAAGAGAGGTACCACATACATTAGCTCTTGATTTGTTGAGTCCTTTCTTGTTTTTTATTTTGCAGTACTGGGGACCAAACCCAGGTCCTTTGCACTGACGTACATTTCCAGCCCTGTTTTATTTTTTATTTTGAGACAGCGTCTTGTTAAATTGCTAGGCTATGCTTGAACTTGCAGTCTCCTACCTCAGCCTCCCAGAATGCTGGGATACAGCATGCACCACCACACCTGGTACAGTAATTCTTCCCATGTGGATTCAGGTGGTTTGGCGGGAACACCACAGAAATTATTTTCTCAGTGCATCCTATCAGGAGAGTGTGATGCTCATTTACTCCATTATTGATGAAGTTAACTTCTACCATTTGGTGAGACGATACCTGTCAAGTTTTCCAGAGTAAAGGTGTAACTTCTGTGGGAGGATACTTTGAGACTGTGTAAAGATCCTATTACTCATTTAAATTTCCCCTGTTAGTTACAGCTTCCTCTGGTGATTTCCTGAATCCCTTAATGATTGACAAACGCAAATTTTTAAAAATATCATCATTTCTTCTACATTTGTATTGTGAATTGTACTGTAAGGTATAGTCTTGCCTTCTCCCCCATGTATGTATGGAGTTTTTTGTTGGGGGGCTTGTGTAGTTCAGGCTGGTCTTAAATTCATTATGTATCCCAGGATGGCCTCAAACTCATGGCAGTCCACCTGCCTCAGCCTCCCGAGTGCTGGGGTTTCAGGTGTGCACCGTTGCATCCACCTATTTCTTCTTGAAGTTGAATACTATTTTTTCTTGTCATTTTGCTTTGTCTAGGCTCTCCATAATAATGTTCTAGAAAGTAGTGGCAATAACACATGTCCATATCTAATTCTGGACTAAAGGGACTTTTCACCCCGTAGTTATAATTCCTGTGGGTTTTCTGCAGGTTACTTTATCAGGTTAAGCATGTTTATTCCTATTTCTAGGTGACTATTTGTTAAAAGTGTTGAGATTAAGTTTTTTCACATTTAATGTGTTTTTATGATGAATTATTTATTGGGTACTTTCTATCACTGAACCTGTTTGTTAAACTCCCTTTAAAAAACCCTATTTGGTGAGAACACATCATTTTTTGTCTTTTGTTTTGTTTTGTTTTGTTTTGTTTTGTTTTTGTTTTTCTCCGGTACCGGGAACCGAACTCACGACCTTGCGCTTGCCAGGCAGGCGCTTTTGCCGCTGAGCTAAATCCCCAGCCCCTTTTCTTTTTTTTTAACACAGCATCTCACTATGTAGTGTAGGCTGGCCTTGAACTCACTTATATAGCCGAGACTGCCTAAAATTCACAGCGATCCTCCTGCCTCAGCCCCCAAATGCTGGGATTACTGGCATGTGTACCATGCCCAGCAGGATACATCATTTTTAAAATACTGATGAATTTAATTTGCCATCAGACTTTTTCATCTGTGTGTAAGAGTAAGATTTAGTTTTACTTTTGCAGTATACATAGACTTTTGGTATTAGAATAGTGCTAGACATTACCATAGAAAATCCATATTTCTCAGTGTTTTCTTGTAATTTAAAAAATCTTAAGCCAGGCGTGGTGATGCACGCCTGTAATCCCAGCACTCGGGAGGCTGAGGCAGGAAGATCACTTCAAGTTTGAGGCCAACCTGGGCTACAAAGTAAGTTCAAGGCCAATCTGAACTGCAGTGAAACTCCCCATCTCAAAAAGACAAAAAAAAACAATCTTGTCATAGGGCTGGGGGTATATCTTAGAATAAGGGCTTGTGTGAGGCCTGGACTCCACTTCCAGTAACCCCTTCCCCCACAAAAACTTCCTTTTCAGTTTTGTTATTTGCATACTGCCTTATCTTGTCTTTTTAAATGCATTAGTCTTTTCAGTGAGCCAGATTTGGTTCTGTCTCTTCCTAAAGTAAGCATCATTATGCTCTATACTTCCCTAATTACTACTTAAGCAATCTTCCAAGTATTGGTATGTTTATATCTCCCAAGACTTAGGAGTCTGCGTAGTCCAAGGGACAACACGCCAGTTTTGTCATAAAGGTGCATTATTGGGGTGTATAATATCCACGTTTATCTTTAGAATATTTCTATTGATGAATTATTAATTTTAATTTTGAGTTTTATTATATTAAACAATGAGTACTTTGTAAAAATGTCAAAAATAAAATAGCAAATTTTTAATATTTTTTATTAAAAAAAGCATCAAAATTTTCAGCATCAACTATTTTTTGGTGTACAAAGTCTAAAAAATAACAGCAGAAATAAATGCCTGTATGAACTACAATGAAAATACCAATAGAGCTTTACAAAAAAAGGATCTTTTCTTCTGTTATCACTCCTTAGGCAGGCTTCACACACAAGGATGGCACATTTCATGCGCCATGTTGCTTACACCAACAGCACATGTGTTTTGCTTTCCTGGACTTTTTGTAGGACATACTTAACATCTTGCTGGTCTTGCTATTTTATCAGGAGATTCTTATTATATAATGATGTATAGTTAACAGAAACATAAAATACCAATAAAATAAAGTCTTAAATTCTTAATATATATTGTGTGTTTAGAATAGACATCAACATTTTCATATCAGCTGTGTACTTACTTACAAAACCTAAAAGATAACATCAAAAAAAATTCCTATATGAAGTACAATGAAAATACCAATAAAACTCTACAACAAAAATAGTCTTTGTGCCAGGCGTGGTGGCGCACACCTGTAATCCCAGCACTCGGGAGGATCGTTAGGAGTTTGAGACCAGCCTGGGCTACAAAGTGAGCTCACGGCCAGCTTGAACTGCATAGTGAGACCCTGTCTCAAAAAGACAAAAAAAAATAGTCTTTGCTTCAATTATCACACCCAAGGCAGTCTTCACACGTGACTTCATGTTCCATGCACATGTCTCACTTACACTGACAGCACATGTACTTAGTTTTCCTTTCTTTTTTTATCTTTTTTTTTTTTTTTTGTCTTCTTGAGACAGTCTCACTGTGCAGTTCAGGCTGGCCTTGAGCTCACTTTGTAGCCCAGGCTGGTCTTGAACTCACAACAGTCCTCCTGCCTCAGCCTCCCGAGTACTGGGATTACAGGTGTGTGCCACCACACCT